TGATGAAAATTCGATTTTTGCAAAACGGGGTAAAATTAATAACTTCCCGATTTTCTTAGCGGGAAGTTAAAAAGCTTATCTTTTTAAAACGGGCTTTTCAAAAAAAATTATATGATAACTTGTTCTCCTTTCCTTACAACCCTTTTTTCAAAAACTTACTGTCAACGTTACCAGTATCACAATGTTAACATCGCAATCTTTAAGATTGTTTAGCATTGTTCATTGCATCAAAAACTATAATAAATCACGGTGTTTCATGAAATTCATGACTTATATTTTAAAAATTAGAATTTTTCCTTTGTAGTTATTTTGTATAATTTTCAATGGCGAAAATTACTATCTGAATGAAGCGTGCAGAAAAAGTTATATAATAAAGTTTTCAAAAGTTATATAATAAAGATGAATGCCAAAGTTCGGTATCTAATAAAGTCTATTGTTACGAGTATCAGAAATGCATAAAATAAATCAATTGTCCATTGATTTAATTACGTTCGAATGTAAAAAAAAAAAGATAATTCGAGTGGATAATCTAATTAATTTTATAAACAACAATAGAATTTATTATTAATGATATTTTCTTTGTAGCACAATGTTACATGACATTGTGGTTTCAATTTATATAAATGATCGCTGGTGATGATGCTATATATACAATTCGACGGCATTATTTTTTCATAATTTCATTTTCTGGTAACTGTTTTATAGAATTTTCAGTATAGCTATTACTTGAAGAGTTTTACTTAAATATGTTGATCAAAAAAATGATTCAAGGCATATTTATTGCAATCATACCTCAACTCGTTGGAGTACAGGTATTTCGAAAATCGTTAATTTTTATTGAATGTTATCTTTTTCTATTTTTTATTGTTCTTACACAGTGAAAATTGTTTTTGTGTGAATTGTCGCAAAAAAAAATAAACATTCTCCAAAAAATTCTAACACATATGCGATTTATGCATAAAATCACAAAGAATACTTCATTGTGCAATCATGAATTTTTGTTTTTGTTAATTTCTTAGGGTGCCATTGAAATCATTCTAGAGGATGTACTTTGTCCAACTTTTAATAAAGAATATTTAACCGAGCCAGATGTTTATTTAGATGCTAACAACCAAGCGTTTGTTAACTTTTCAATAATTAAACAATTTCCACCGGATGTTCAGGTAATGATGAGTGTTTTTACCATTTCTATTAATAAAAATTATAATAATAACTACCCGCTTTGGGCCACCTTCCCCTATATTTCTGTTGTTAGACTATGTATCATAATTTTATATAAAATATTATTATTTTTACTACTATTCTTTAGTTACTTACCATTTAGATTTACAATTTATATTTTTTTGTAATCTTATTATTGGCGTTGTGCTGTTAGGTTATTATTATTACTAAAGAAAATAAATAAATGTGATTATGATAACTTCCCGGTTGATATGGATTAATTTCGGTATCTTCCTTATTAAATTTGTTTATTTAAAATTATTCCACAAATGAGATGTAAGACTAAAGTTTTCTGACAGTATGAAAATCAATTATAATTTTTAGGTCCGCTTTCATTTACTAGGAGCATCGATGGGTGAATTTGTCATAGAAACTGGAATCGATGTAGAGATGGGCTTGTGTGAAATATTCGGTGAACCTGTTATAATGGGTCCACTTCTTAAATTATATGGATTCGTGGCGGCGGACTGTCCACCATCTCCTGTAAGATCGATTAATTTTTTTTAACTGCGTTGGCATTTTCGTAAATTTTTTAATTTCCTCTAGGGTGTTTATGGAAATCAAGGCTATAACACACCAATGGAATTAATGCCAGATGATTTTATACCTAACAAATATCTATCAATCGTTGAATTTTCATACGAGGAAGAAAAATTAATAATAGTTTATACATACTTTAATGTTCAGTAAATCTCAAAAAAACTTAAGAACAAAACATTATTACTATTTATACAGTTGTTATGCCTCGAAAAATGTACTTATCTATTGAATAAAATTGTTTCACACAGTAATTACAACTTTTCTATCGACTTTCTAAAATTGGTTTTATGATTTATTTAGTATGCTTTATTATTATTGTCACTCTCTACATCTGAAACAGTGAAAATCATTGGAAATTAGTGGTATATTCATTATTTCACAGTTATAAGTATACCACTTGGTATACTTATAGCTGTGAAACAGTGAAATTCCACTGATTCATTTTAAGAGAGTGCAACTTGATGATTTTTTGTCCGAAAATTCACTGTCTATGTTACATTTCGTAATACAATGTTAGCATACAATCAAACGCTGTGTTAAATACCGTTTTAAAGCTACCTTGCTAATAAGGCAAAAATAGC